GAGGGCAGAGCAGGAGGCTCAGCTGACTCCAACGTGCCCTCGCAGCTCATCAAAGCAAATTTAGGGCCTCGCTAGAGCTGCCGGGGCCGTACAGCCCCGGGGCTGAGACACCGGCCCCTCCTCGGAGCACAGCCAGCGGGTTTTAATTTATGGATACGTACACGCTACTGGTTACATCAAGCTATCACTCTCGCCAGAGCATCTTTCTTTTCAGCCATCTCCTGTGCACACTGGGATGGTACTTCTGGGAGCACTGGCTCGAGGTGGGGGAAGGTAACGGCTTGGGAGAGTGAGTTTTGATTTTTTTTATAATTTTCTGTTGCAGAGTCACTGGCTAAAATGAAGAAAAAGAGAAATGGGAGGGGGGAAGGAGCAGATAACTCACTCCTGACTGCAGTAGCGCAGGGAGCTACGGCAGTGCAGGGGGAGGCTGCAGCTGAGCCACCATGCTTGCCGTGCCTCAGTTTCCCCGTCCTCCTTGTTCGATAGCTTCATACTGGAGAAGGCTCCATGTTTGGCCTGGGACGGCCAGCTGTGTTATATCCACACTCCTGCCCCGTCCTGGAGACAGAAATTCTGGCAGCGTTTCTATCCAAATAAGCCCCCTCAGACGGCTAATTTTCCCTCTTGGCTCTGCTCCCCCATCCTGCCACAGCAGCCACCATTGTACCAGTCACTTACCACTGAACATGCAGAAGGCAGCACAGGAGAGAGGCAGAAAAACGCCGCCGAATTGGACTAAAGCACACGAGAGTTCCAGTGCCCATCACGGTTGCTGCTCATTTTTTGGGTGGTTGATGGAAAAGGGGGGGGGGGCCCTCAAGCCTTGAACACTCCTGCCTCCCAGACATGAAAGGAATATGATTTTTCTCCTCCTCCTCCTCTTCCTCCCATGTACAAAGACCAGATAATTTTGCACGAACAAGCCAATTCCATTTTTAACCATGCTGTTGCTTCATGGAGCAAAGGCAGGACACGGGATGGGGAAATTGCTGGTGGGAGAGCGGCTGATCCTCCCCGTGACCCCGTTACATTTCTGGGAGCAGGTCTGGACCTTCCTTGCCAGAAAGGCTCTTCCGTGGGATTCCAGGTCCCGCAGCTGATTGCAGAGCTGTTGGGCTCTTTCGGAAAGAGCAGCATTTCTTTGAGATGTTTTATTTTCCTGCGATGACCTCTTCGGTGGCACTTCCTTAAAAACACCTCTTCCCACTGCAAAAAGATTTCCTTTCCCACTGCTGCTGGGGGCTGGGGTGCTCCAAACCCTGCCCATCAAACCTGGAGCAAAACCCAGCTGCAGCTGATTTAAGCTGAGCAGGGCATAAAGTAACAGGAGGGCAGATTTTTTTTTTTTCTTTCAAACTTGGTTTAAGGTGTTTATCATCACATTTATTGCCAGCTCATCTCCAGCTGTGGAAACAAGGAGGGTCCATGGATGCTCTAATATCTGCCCGGGGGTTTTGCTTCCCCACCAGTTCTTCGCATGTGCCCCTGGATACAGGCTGTCCCCTCCCACAAATGTCATTTCTGGAACAACTAATGCTTGTTTTCTCACTAATCACCAGCTGGTTTAACCCATTTCCCAGCCCCTGATGGAGCCAAGGTGGCTGCCCAGCATAGGCTGGTGGCCCCCACCACCACCACATATCATTGCAGCCAACCCTCCACGCTGAACTTCCAGAAGCACAACCCTTGGGTGTTCAGTCTTGTAAGGAGGGAGCCTGATATGTTATTTTGGTTTCTTGACATGAAGCAATGCTTTCTTCCCCAGAATTGTGCTCTTGCTAAGGACAGGGGCTCAAGATCAGGTGGCATCTGTGGACTCATCTCCAGGGCTGAGCCAACACCCTGCCTGTCCTGGGAAACTTAAGAGTCAAGATTTTTAAAGGCATCATTGTACAGTCCATAATAAGATAGAAAAGCCATAATAAATATGACACCAAAGCTCAGTTCCCACACCAGGAGTGTCTGAGGGTTGGGAGACCGTTACCGGAATGTCCTGATGCGACCCCAACACTAAAGTGCCGACGTCAAGGACTGGCACACGAAGGTCCATCAGGAAGTCCCCGAGCAGCTTTGCTGGGCCTTGTGACCAGGGTGCTCAGCCCTTGCTCAGCATCACCCCCCAGCCCAGCATTCCGAGGCAGCCGACCCCGCGACTGCACCAGTCCCACCCCGGCCGGGTGCAGAGGAGTTTGCTGCAGCGGCTCCAAGGGAAGTCAAATCCAAACTGTTGTGTTACCCAGGTGAAGTCCTGCAAGGCCCATTGGGGTAGAGAAGGGGCCACAATACCCCCATGAGTAGCAGCCCCGTGAGCTGCCTCCGGAGCCTTTGGCCATCTCACCCACAACTGCTGGGAAGAGAGGATGGACCTGGAAAAGGCCAGATATGACTGTGCATGCACAGCCAAAATGCTCCCTTTGAGGAAAGTCTTCCTCTTCTATTAAGTAATTAAATAAAGCCCCGAGCTCTACTAAAATTAAAATAACAGAATCCATTTATTCTGGCAGGGCTCACTGGTGGCTGCTCTTGCCAAAAACATTTTTGTGGTTCTTTTCTTTTCAAGTGGCTCTTTTGCAATAAAACCCAGATGCCATCAGTCCGGGGAGGCCTCCAGGCAACTGTTTACGTCCATGAAAGATGCCCTTTGTAATTAATTAATCTCCCAAAAGCTGTGGAAGCACATTCCCCATGGCTCCTGGCATGTCCCTGCCCGCCGACCCTGGCAGCGGAGGTGCAGGCTCATTCCTGGGCGCTGAAGAAACCTTCTGTTCCTCAGCCTCCCCACGGAAGGGGTTAATCTCCTCCTTGGGAAGACACAGTGGAGATTCTGGTTCAGCGGCTCCTGCTTTTGCTCGACAGCAGCTCGCTGTGTTCCAGGGGCCGGGATGAGCTGGGGACCCGGCTGGCAGGCGGTGGCGAAGGGCAGACACTACCCGGTGCCTTCACCCTTTTGGGGGTTCCAGTGCTTCCAGCTGACTCAGTCGTCACAGGGTTTCCAAAGCAGGGGGCAACACTACAATACTGGAGACCTGTGGGCTTGGTGCACGCGGGGGGAAAAGATGATTCATGAGACTGGCCTGAGCAAAAACCATCTGACCAGCTGCACCACAAGTCATCCAGCCCAGTGCCTTCTTCTGGAGAGTGGCTGGTGTCAGGTATCTATAGAAAGGTGCATCTCCTCCCGGTTGAGGGCAGCCAGGGCAGGGGATGCACCTTGGCTGAAGTGGCTCTAGGACTCTCACATTTCATGGCCACCAATGGGTTTCATCCACCATGAATCTGGCCAGATTGTTTCTGCGTCATTGACATTTTTGGCCTTTGCAACATCAGCCCAGCATGGAATTCTGGGTCTGCCCGGCAAAGGCTGTGCTTGTGCTGGCTCCGAACCCACCTCCATCCTCAGTGTCAGCAGCGAGTGCCTTTATGGCTTCACGTCCTTCAGGGTGTGTGAGAGCTCTCTCATACCCCTCTTCTCTAGCTTGAGCAACCGTAATTCATGGAATTTCTCCCAAATAGAAACCCTCAGCAGAGACCAGCAAAGACTTGGCTTCTCTAGGACCATGTCTTTGCTCAGCCTCTATGTAACATGGTTGCAAATAGAATAGCTTTACGAAGGGTCAGTCCTTGCTGCCTCGTTTGTAACGGAACAACTCAGCCTGGGGTTCGGTTCTTATTGGTGTTTTTCGCTGTCGTTGGCTTTTCATTGTTGCTTTTTTTGATAGATGGGTTTAATTTTGCTGGTGTATCGCACAGGTTTGCAAACCAGATGTTGCTGCTGCACGGTGGCAACACGGAGGCAGGCAGGGAGCCGTCCATCACCATGCACGCGTGTCACCGCCAGACGGGGGGTCAGGGCATGGGGGGGATGTGGATCCCCGCTCCTCGGGACCCGGGGCCACAGTTGCCATGAGAACTGCTGGTGGCACTGCGGTGAACCTCGCCGGCATCGCAGCCGCCTCCCATCCATCTCCCATTCCCTCCGGGAAGGAGCGGACCGTTGGAAGGAGACCAAGCTGCGGGCAGGAAAACTGCGGAGAGCCTGTCGGGAAGGATGGATTTGTGTAAGCAAATGATGCTGGTGTGAATCACCAGTGTTTTGCAGATGCTGGAGATGTCCAGGGTGATGTGAAGGGGAAGGGATGGGGTGTGGTGCAGCAGGCAAGGGGGAGCGAGGAGAGGAGCTGGGACGGCCGCTCGTTGGCTTCTACACCGTTCTGGCTTGCCTTGTTTGGAGCTCAGGTCATCCCACAGCCAAATCCCATGGTCCTTTAGCTAATCACTCCCAATACGTGGCCCAGGAGGGCTTTGAACTCACCAGGGGACCATGGAGCCGGGTGGACCCTGGCCCAAGCCCCAGGCCCTGTCCCGCTCCCAGCTGGGAGAGCTTCCCAGAACAGCCCATGGGCAGGGCTTCTTTGGGTGGAAGAAGGAAATCGCTGTGGTCAGGGGGCTGATATTGCACATTTTTGTGGGACATCAGCTCGCTGCCACCTTGAAAATACCAACCCATGGAATCTTACATGCTGGTCCGTGAAAAGCCCTTGTGCCTTGCAGGAAGGGAGTGTTCTTACTCCAGAAATTCACTGTTATTCCAGAGAATTTAAGCCACTGTGCAGGAAACCCCCGTGTGGGCAGGGGTTAGGACATTGAGATCGTAGAGGTGTGCTCCGTGCACACAGTGCCGGTGCAAGAAGGGAGGTGGGACCCCCCCTGGAGAAGCCCCTTAGAGGCCTTGAGAAGACAAAATGGATTTAGGTCTCATTCTGGGTCAACAGGCAGCCAAAGGAAGCGGGAAATCATGAGTGTGTTTAGATGCTGTGCTGGATCAGAGCCTCCTGACTACGCATGTAAGGAGGAAAGCAAGCTGAGCTGGAGGCGGGAGGCTCTGGAGCATCCTGCCCTTGGTACCCGGGACACTCCCAAGCACGCCTTGTGCTCAGCTGCCCCCACCCCACCCGGGGCATTTGGCACTAACGTGTCCCTCTCTCCCTCTCTTTCAGAGACCTCATGCCCAGGACCCTGGAGGGGCAGATCACCATGGAGAAGACCCCCAGCTACTTCGTCACCAAGGAGGCCCCAGCCCGCATCTCCTCCATGTCCAAGGGCACGAAGCTCATCGTGGTGGTGCGGGACCCTGTGACCAGAGCCATCTCGGACTACACCCAGACACTCTCCAAGAAGCCTGATATCCCCACCTTTGAGAGCCTGACCTTCAAAAACAGGACTACAGGCCTGATCGACACCTCGTGGAGCGCCATCCAGATCGGCATCTACGCCAAGCACCCCTACTTCCCCAGCGGGCAGATCCTCTTCGTCAGTGGGGAGAGGCTGATCAGTGACCCCGCGGGCGAGCTGGGCAGGGTCCAGGACTTTCTGGGCCTCAAGAGGATCATCACCGACAAACACTTCTACTTCAACAAAACCAAGGGGTTCCCGTGCCTGAAGAAGGCGGAAGGCAGCAGCAAACCCCACTGCCTGGGGAAGACGAAAGGCAGGACCCACCCCGACATAGACCAGGAGGTGGTGCAGAGACTGCGGGACTTCTACCGGCCCTTCAACATGAAGTTCTACCAGATGACGGGGCAGGACTTTGGCTGGGACTGAGGCTGAAAAAAATAATTTAAGAAAAGGAAAATATAATATAATATATATTTTTTTTACATATCAGTAGAGAGGGGGAAAATACAGAAAAAAAAATAGTTGTGCTGAAACATGATTTGTTCTGATTTATTTTTTTTTTTCTTTCGGCATTGCTGGGTTTTCATTCTTTTCTCAGAGATGAGGTGATGTGTCCATCCAGAAAAGGAGGCTGTGAACAGCAACCTGGTCCTATTGGCATCTTCTGCAGCTTGGCTGCTTCCTTGGCCCAAGGTTTAGCACTGTCTCTATAATAAAAAAAAAAAAAAATGCAGGTGCAAAGCTGTTAGATGGCCTCAGGTCCTCCAGAAGTGAGAGGGGTGCTTGGGGCAGCTCAGAGCCTTGCTGGAAGGTCAGCCAGATTTTGGCTCGCAAATGCCATTTTAGCCAGACCTCATCACTTTTGACAATGAAACAAAAGAGGCTTAATAACTAATTTGGCTTTCAAAACCTTACCTTAGGGGATCTTTTTATTGCGTGAAACCTTTGGTGAAATTATTTTCATTTAGCCAATTTTTCGTTTGACTTTTGCCCCCCCCTAAATCAAGCTCTTTTCATCAACCAAACTTCTTTTTTCATCTTACAGAAGCCAAACCCAATAATCCTTTGTTTTGTTTTGAAACGAAACAATTCTGGTAGCCAAAAGTGAAAGAAAACAAAGGATTCTTTTGACTCTACAATGAAAATTGACAGGTAGTCAAAAGATCTCATTCACGGGAGTTGGCTCTAAACCAGCGTTCCCCATTTCCCGTCTGAAGGGATTTGGGTGATGGGCAGGGAAGATCCACACTGAGATGATGCTCACGGTGCACCTGTTTTGAAGGTGATGGGGCACCCGCCATCCCACCACTCCTATGGAGGAAACGAAGTTCACAGTGTCTGGTGGATGCTATTTAAGCCATAATAAAGAATGGTTTAGGTCGGGTCAGTCTTAAAAGAAAAACAGTGAGGAATGGGTTGTTGGGGAAAAAAATGAACGAAAATCACATCCAGAAAGGGGAGAGAATAAGGAGAAGACGATGGAAGATTTCTTGTCCTTTCCTAAAGGAGAACCGAGGGGGAAGCAGGAACAAGAGCGTTGGTTGTGCAGGGCTTTAAAAATTGTCAGGCAAAACGAATCTCCTGTTTGCAATAACCAGGAGCTTTAAAACCTTTGCTTTGATCCTTATCACCTTTTTTGGCTGGTGGAAATGTCTCAGCAACAGAAATCTATTAGTGAAGCAGGATCTTGTACTACCAGGGGCTCGTTTATCTGCTGGTTCTTTATCTTCAGCGTTTTCTGGACTATAGGAGCACCTAATTATCGCTTGGTGCTGTATAAACACGACACAATGGTGCTTCCTCTCCTGAGTCTAACTTTAAAAAGCTCCTGATGGGGTAAATCAAAGTGGGGGATCACCTGGTGATCTGGTTAGGAAGAAGCCTGGGGACCAAGCTCACCAGCTGCCTGCGCACCAGCCAAGATCTTAATAAAATCACAGCTAAGCAGAGATTTCAAGGAGTCCAAAGAGAATTGTATCTGAAATGAGAGTTTAATCCAAGGGAGGGTCATTTCCACCTTGGGCTGTCTTGCTTGACAGGTTAGGAAAACAGCTTGGGGCCTGCTCAACTTCATGGCACCAAGTTCCACTGCAGGTGTTGAGCCACATCTGGCTGCCCTGAGCCTCCTCCTTCCCACCCATCCCTACACACCTCCTTCCATTCCCAACGACGCAGAGTCCTGGGACCTTCCTGTCCCCTGAAGACACAAACCCACATGGTGTTGCACGCAAGGCCCATTTCCCAAGGTAGTTAAAATGATGTCGTTAATGTTGCAAGACCCCAGGACCTTCTCCCACCATTACCTGAGCCTTACCTGAGCTCAGATTTCCATGCCCTGGCTGGTGGAGCGGTGGTTGATGGGTTGGCGGCACCATAGCTGGGCTGTGCTCAGCAGTGTCTCCTGGCATGGCACAGCTCAGGGCCACCCTTGCTGCCTCCACTGATTCCTTCACCCCCTTCCCACCATTCTGGTTCCAACGTGTCCCATTTTAAGCCCCTTTATTGGCAACGTCCTATGTCACATCTGGGTAAACATAATTGACTTCTGCAAACACCTTACAGCAGAAATGCAGATGAGGGATCACGCAGACCCCCAAAAGCCCTTTCGCTTACCTGCCTCCCTTCAGCCCCTCAATGTTCATGCAAGAGATGACTTGAGAAAATCAGAGATGATCAAGCAGCTTTGGCTTCATGGGGCCATGGTCCCTCCCAGCATCTCTGCACTCACCGCTGGAGCTCAAATCTCCCAAATCAGAGGGAGTTGGAAGAGCACTGGGCTCTTGGCAATGGTCTCCTCCAAGTGTCACTGGGGAGACGAGGGGAGCAATCTGCTCTCTGCCCATGCCGGCCAGATCGAAGGGGAATGGGCTTAAGGTGTAGCCCAAAAGGATGGGGGTTAATTATTGGGAAAACCTTTCTAACGGCAAAGCTTGTTGGAGCAGTAAGGGGAGATGGCGAATGGGAGATGGCCACCAGCCCTCCCGCACTCTGCTCTTCCATCCAAGTGCAAAGGCCGAGCTGTTGGCGAGGAAAAGGCGTCACTCGCTCACGGGAAGAGCCGAGTAGTGCCAGCACTACCGAGGCACAAAATCTGAGTTTTTTCTGAGCTGAAAATAAGATTTAAGCATGTAGTTGTTTTGGCATTTCAAGGAGACTTAAGGTTGGGCTAATCTGTACATGCCTTTGACAAGTACAAATATCACTTAAGAGTATGATTTAAAAAAATCAATATAATTGTACTGCTACTGTCTCTCATACGGTCACATTTAGCCTGGTATAAAATATAAAGCAGCTTTATAGTGCTACAGATTGTTCTTCCCATATCGAACGAGCTATAGCAACATAAAGCACCTTCATACAAATGAGTTTCTACAACTGCCACCAAATCACCGTCGTTAAATCAGCAGAGCTTCGGCGTGTACACACACCTCACTATCATATGTGCCTTTAAAAAACCCTTCCCAGCACATTGAACCCAGCTACATGGGCATACTTTCCCAAAAATGCTTGATTGCTTCACTTCCACTAATTTCTGAGGGTGTGAGTCCCTTGACGCACACCTAGTAAAACTATTTTGGGATCTGAGACTGTAATTGATTTTTTTTTTTGATCCAGGTCGTAAGTATTTTTGAAAATCCCTCCACGTACGAACAACGGCTTTTAAAAAGAGGTCATGCAATCAAATTGCTTTGAACTCTAATGACATTTAAGCCTCTAAACTCTTTAGGCTTATTTTAAAATCCAGTCATGAAGTTTAGATTATTTTAACCTAAGAAGAATTGGAAGTAAACTATTGAAAACCGTACCCTTCCGAGGCCTACAGTATTGAGCACGTCCAGTAGGAGGGAAAAGCAAAAGTAGCTATAAATAAAAAAGAAAGTGACCTATAGAGTTTGATTTATTGTTTTTTTCCAAAGCAGGAAAATCAATACATTAACGATGGGAAACTAATTAGCTGTATTAAAACTCTTCTGGTTTCAATAATCAAATGTGCCATTAAGCACTGATGAAGCTCAGCTCAGGCTCATACACCACGCAACATTTAGATTTTAGAACGTTTGTTTTAAAAGAAAAAAACCACCCACTTTATAAAGTATCCTATCAATGTCAAGTGCCAAATTCATCCTAAGGAAGAAAGTCTTTATGCTGAGGGTGGCGAAACACTGGTCCAGGTTGCCCAGAGAGGTGGTAGATACCCCATCCCTGGAAACATTCAAGGTTGAGTTGGACGGGGCCCTGAGCAACCTGATGTAGTGGAAGGTGTCCCTGCCCATGGCAGGGGGGCTGGACTAGATGACCTTTAAAGGTCCCTTCCAACCCAAACCATTCCATGATTCTATGGTCTTTGAGCAGATGGACACCACCCCCTCACTCCCATCCACAGCCCTGCCCGGGTGCCCTTGGTCAACAGGCTGTGGGTCTTGGGGGGGGTTGCCCAGCGCCTTGGCCAACCCAGCCCCATGAACAGGGCACTGCAGCCCTGCTGCACAGAAACCATCAGGACCTTTGGCGCAGGGGTGCTAAGCACCAGTATTGCCCCTAAAGTCTTCAAAAATCAGGTGTTATTTTTCTCCACTGATGGTGCCGTGCCTTGGCACAGGCTGGTAGAGCTCAACTCAGAAAGGCAGGTGAACACGAGACCTCCTGTTAGCCAGCAGCTGTATGCCAAACCTGAACCCTGGGAAGGCTCTTTGCACTCTACTTCAATTGGCCACACCTGGGAAATCTCAGAGAAATTGGTTTTTCTTAATTATTGCACTCTGGTGAGACAAAACCCAGCCCCTTCACTGCTGGGATTCGTGTCCCTGCAATTTCTGGAAGGGCAAGGACCCGGCTGCTGCATCTGCGTTGGAGTTGGAGCTGATTTTGTGCCATGGGGAGTTTAATCGACTCCTAAGGAAATGCTGCCACTCGATAATTTACCCAGTTAAAGGGAATATAAACACGAATGTGCCGTGAAGATCAGTGTACGAGACTCCTCCACGGGGTGTTTGGGGTGGTCAGCGGGGTGCAGCACTGAGAAGTTAAATTTCCAGCAGTGATTTGGCCAGACCTACCCTGCACCGAGAGATTTTACTAACACTCGTCCTTCACCTCCTCGGTTCTCCCACGTACACAATGTCAGGGCTCCATGTTAGGGAAAAAAAGTAAAAATTTGCCCATTTTCTTAACAATTAAAAAAACCTCTTGTTCATATATAACGGCTTCTGGGTTTTCTCTCCCCTTTGCCTGGTGATACTGTCGTCCTTCTCCCTTCGGTGCTATTTCAGTAGGAAACAGACTGATTTAAATTTAATTTAAGAATGAAAAAGCACACATTTAATAAAGTTTACGGGTACTGAGAGGCTGTGCTCTCTTTTTGCTGGCAGCAGCAACCTGCAAAGACTGGGCAGGGTTCTGAGAAAAGGGGGAAAACCCACTGAATC